AATTGTTAACAGTACCAGTTAACATGGGGGCCAGTAAGGCAAATTGAGTCACCAACAGCTTGGTTGCAATAGGATTGAGAAGATGTAGCTGGAGTTCGTGGGCTAGCTAAGATTGGAAAGCACATTCCAGGAGATAGGATGGCATCTACACAATGATATATGTTCAGGGTTAATAATTGTTGGGGAAATTTGTCCAAAACATACTATCTAGTCATTTTTAAATTCATTTAAGGGGTGTGGGCATTGCTGGGTAGGTCTGCATTTATTGCTCATTCCTAACTACCCAGAGGGTAGTTAAGCATCACCCATATTGTTTAGGGTCTGAATTTGCATGTAAGCCAAACCAGGTAAGGATCTTTCCCTAAAGGACATTAGTGAGCTAGATGGGGCTTTCCCAACAATTAGCAACAGTTTCTCAGTCATCATTAGACTCTTAATGCTAGATACTTTATTGAATTCAAATTTCTCCATCTGCTATGGCAAGATGGCACAAGTCAAGAATCTGATGGAATACTCCTCACTTGCCTGGATGGGTGCAGCTCCAACAACACTCAAGAAGCTCGACACTGTCCAGGACAAAGCAGCCCACTTGATTGGCACCACATCCACAAACATTCACTCCCATCACCACTGATTCTCAGTAGCAGCAGCATGTACTATCTATAAGATGTACTGCAGAAATTCACCAAAGATCCCCAGGGCATTACCTGGGTCTCTGGAATAATAGTCTTGTGATAATACCACAAGGCCAACATCTCCCCTGCTGTTAATGGATCTTGCTGTATTCAATTTAGTTTCTCCGCTTGGTTGTAAAGCTCCTTGGAATGTTCTGAGACTGAAAAGCACCGAATGAGTACAAGTTTACCTACTTTATTGAAAAAATACAATTGAGTTCAAAGGAATAAAAGAACAGAGTTTGCCCCTCAAGCCTGTTCCACCATTATGTGAGATTATAGCTGATTGTCCAATCTTTTAATCCCATTGGTAAACAAGAACCTAACAAACCAACATTTAACAATGACCAAGTATCATTTTACCAATTTGTGTAAGCGTGTTCCCTATGTCCCATGGATCTCCCTACCAGTAGAAATAGCTTCTCTCTAACCATCTGGCCTATTCCCTGTAATATTCTCAGAATCTCAAATTGCCTTCTAAAGCTTTCTAAATTTCATGGAATACAATCCTAGTTATGTAATCTGTCCATGTATTTTAACTCATGGAGTTGAGGTATCACTCTGGTAAATCCATAATGTGATGTAGGAGGTTGATGGGTGACCTCAAGAAACTTTGGAGAATCATGAAGGGCAGCAATAAGGTGAATAGCAAAGGTCTTTTCCTAAGGTGTGAGAGTTCAAAACTAGGGGTCATTTTTTAAGGTGAGAGGAGAAAGATTTAAAAAGGACACGAGAGGAAACATGCTTACACAAAGAGTGGTTAGTGTGTGGAATGAATTGCCAGAGGAAGTGGTGAATGCGGGTACAGTTACAATATTCAAAACACATTTAGATAAGTACATGAATCGGAAAGGTTTGGTGGGATATGGACCAAACACAGACAGGTAGGACTAGTTTAGTTTGAGAACATGGTTGGTGTGGACTATATGGCCCGAAGGGTCTGTTTCCATGCTGTATGACTTTAAGTAATTGTGGGTTTGGAAGGTGTGTCTAAGGATCTTTGGTGAATTTCTGCAGTACATCTTATAGATAGTACATGCTGCTGCTACTGAGAATCAGTGGTGATGGAAGTGAATGTTTGTGGGTGTGGTGCCAATCAAGTGGGCCGCTTTGTCCTGGACAGTGTCGAGCTTCTTGAGTGTTGTTGGAGCTGCACCCATCCAGGCAAGTGAGGAGTATTCCATCAGATTCTTGACTTTTGCCTTGTTACAGTGGACAGGCTTTGGAGATTCAGGAGGTGAGTAACTCACTGCAGTATTGCTAGCCTCTTACCAACTCTTGAAGCCTCTGTTAATGTGTCGAGTCCAATTGAGTTTCCAGTCAATGGTAACCTCCAGAATGTTGGTAGTGGGGATTCAGTGACAGTAAAACCAGTGAATATCAAGGGGCGGTGGTTAGATTGTCTTTTATTGGAGATTATCATTGCCTGGCATTTGTGGTGCGCAAATGTTACTTGCCACTTGTCAGCTTAGCTATTGTCCAGATCTTGTTGTATTTGAATATAGACTACTTCAGTATCTGAGGACTTGCGAAGTGTGATCAGCATTGTATAATAATCGGTGAATATCCTCACTTCTGACATTCTGATGGAGGAAGGTCCTTGATGAAGCAGCTAAAGAGGGTTGGGCCTCGATCACTATCCTGAGGAACTGATCTGTTGAGAAACTGATCGGTGAAGGAACTGAGGGTTTGATCAGCTGAAAACTTTCAATTTGTTCATTCACTAAATCCTTAATTATAGATACTAGGAATAGCCCAACAACAGATGGCAGGTGAACTGAACTATCATTCCTCTCTCACATTTCCTAAAAGGTGAAATGGTACACACTCTTTTCCAATGTAAAAGAACAGTTCCCAAATTGACAGTGGTCTCACTTCCTTTAAAATTATGACATAGAAACCATCTGATATTGGGAATTTATCTCTCTTTTGTGATACTAATTTATTCAGGGTGACAATTCTGGATTTTGTGGTTTTAATATCTGTCCCGTATCCTGTATGAAATCGCTGTCAGCACCATTTGTTCTGTATTTCAAATTGTGCCCTAAAGTCTGGTGCTTCTGACAAGCTGAAAAATTCTGGTCTCCAGGGTAGTGATGTAGAGTTGTGTCTGATCAAACATTCATTACCTTGGGACGTCCACCATGCTGAAGTCTATCACACCTGTAAATATTAACACAAAGTAATTACTCAATATGTCTGCCATTTCCTAATTTTCATTTTACTATTAGCAGTTTTTCTCACATCCCCAGACGATCTTCTAATTCCTATGCAATATTTTTGAGCTAATCTTGATATTCCTTGTAAGTTTATTTTCATGTTTTTTGTAATGTTTCTATATTCTGTCTTTCATTCCCATTTGTCAAGATTTGTGTATGCTTTGCATTTTCGTATGCTTTTTCTTGTTTTTTTATTGTCCTTCGTCTTTTCTTTCTCAGCATCTTTCCTCTCAGGGAGTTCTAAATTGGTTCTATATCATAAATTATTTTTGAAATACCTCCAACTGATTTTAGATCATATTTGCTATTGACAGATTTGCCAAGTTCACTGATGACAGTTTTTCTTATTGCACTGAAGTCAGCGTAACTAAAACTTAGAAATCGATGAGCTGTTTTGCCTTTATCATTAAATTGAATGATATCACACCATGATCTATATTAGATAAAATGTTCACACATCATTAGGCTGTGTTACCTAAATCTGAATGGTTACTTATTACTAAATCTTAAATTAGGAAACTTCTCGAAGACACATTAAAGAAATTCACGACCTTTGCGACATGTTTTTTCTTATTGACATGGAAGATAAAAGATTTTGCTACGTTTGTCTAATCTCTGCTGTTATCTAATCTACCACTTCATAGCTGCTAAGAGGCAACCTATATACAACCTCCACTAGTCTTAAATTATCTTATTTATTAATTCTACCAATAATGTCTCTAATATTTGCTTATCTCTCACTGAAGTGATTTCATCCATAATCAATCACAAAGGCATTTCATCATTAAATTCAAAAAATCTTAACGTGTTTGTGAAATTAAAACGGCTAAATGTTGAAAAATATGGTATAATGTTAAGGCCTCACCAACCTCTTTAATGATCTCCCGAATCTCTTACATACAACAGTTTTGGTTATGTTTGCCATTCTCAAACAGATCAGCCTCTATCCTGAATTTTATCGCCCTCTATAGGGCGAACTATTTGACGTGGGCTTGTAGCAGGGGAAACAGGATTGAATGCTCTGATAAATTGAGAAAGCTGAAACGCGTCTTGGAGCGGCTGAAACGTTCTCCCACAATCGTCTCTTCCCTATTTGTTTGTAAACGGTACAGAAAACGATTCGACGGCAAAGGACCACAACACTTACTTTAAACGACGAGCGCCGGATATTAGAATGAACTCTCGATAATTTTTTGAGGTTAAATTTTCTGCTCATTCCAGTTTCAACAAAGTGTTATTTTGAGCAAGTTCTGTCTCCAATGTCATATCCACTACAACCTAACCTGTATAGCCTTAAAAAAAATCTGCAGGTTTTGATTTTACGTTGAATACAATAGCTGATGGTTATGAACCACCCACACGATCTCAGAGCAAGGAAGTTCAACTGCGCCCTCAGTCTTGCGAGTGGCTCCTTATATTCTGTATATAAATGTATATGCAAACGATCTCGCCTTCTTTTAGAGGTACTGTACTGCAAAGAGTGGAGAAGTGGAATATGTTAAGGTCTCGTATCGCTACTGGATCGTCGAGCGTGATTACGTTTCGTGAACTTGTTGCTGGTGGACTGAAAAGCTCTATTTGAGGGATTCTCCTGTCACGGCTCCGGTACAGGTTCTTCGTATTTTCTATACATAATATCTGTCCATTAACGTGTAGTGGATTGAAGTGATACAGCACCGAAATCTGAATGCATCAGACAAGTGGCCAACTCTTCAGAGAGGTAGGACAACAAACAGTTAAAATGTTCTTTTGCTAACACCTGGTAAATTTCGGTTTGCCTGTGAAGTTGATGTCCGTGTAGGAGCACAACTGCAATAATAAGACGGTACCGGTTAAAATGTGTGTGTGTGCATGTGTGTGTGAGAGAGAGTAGAAAACACAAGAGATGGGGAATTCTGCGAAATAAATATTTTGAGCCCGGGCAAGGGTTTGCGCGAGGAGTTTTTGTTTTATTTCAACACGACCGCAAAATTACATTGGGTTGCCTCCTTTATCTTTCTAGATGTCAGGCGTGCGGCATCAAGCGTGGTTCTGAATCGGGGAAGCGACCTGTATCTCCCTGTGCCACCCTCCCAGCCAGCCAGGCAGGCAGTAAAGTGTCGGAGCGATGGCAGCGGGAGTAGCCGCCTGGCTCCCGTTTGCCCGGGCGGCCGCTATCGGATGGATGCCGGTGGCCAGCCAGCCCATGCCCGCCGCCCCCAGCGAGAGGAAGCGGCCCCAGGACGGGCTGGTCATCCTGAATGTGAGCGGCAGGCGCTTCCAGACGTGGAGGAGCACTTTGGAGAGGTACCCGGACACTCTGCTGGGCAGCTCGGAGAAAGACTTCTTCTACAACGAGGAGATCCGCGAGTATTTCTTCGACCGGGACCCTGACATCTTCAGGAGCATCTTGAATTTTTACCGGACCGGCAAGCTGCACTACCCGAGGCACGAGTGCATCTCGGCTTACGACGAGGAGCTCTCCTTCTTCGGCATCATCCCGGAGATCATCGGCGACTGCTGCTACGAAGAGTACAAGGACCGAAAGCGGGAAAACATCGAGCGGATCATGGACGACGCCGAGGACGACATCAGCAGCGAGAACCGGCTGCCGTCCATGACCGCCCGCCAAAAGGTGTGGCGGGCTTTCGAGAACCCCCACACCAGCACCCTGGCGCTCGTCTTCTACTACGTGACGGGCTTCTTCATCGCGGTGTCGGTGATGGCCAACGTGGTGGAGACGGTGCCGTGCGGCTCGCTGCCGGGCAGTGTGAAGGAGTTGCCGTGCGGCGAGCGCTACGCCCTGGCCTTCTTCTGCCTGGATACAGCGTGCGTCATGATCTTCACGGTCGAGTACCTGCTCCGCCTCGTGGCGGCCCCCAGCCGTTACCGCTTCGTGCGCAGTGTCATGAGCATCATCGACGTGGTCGCCATCATGCCCTACTACATCGGCCTGGTCATGACCGACAACGAGGATGTCAGCGGCGCCTTCGTCACCCTGCGCGTTTTCCGCGTCTTCAGGATATTCAAGTTCTCCCGCCACTCGCAGGGCCTGCGCATCCTGGGCTACACCCTCAAGAGCTGCGCCTCGGAGCTCGGCTTCCTCCTCTTCTCCCTCACCATGGCCATCATCATCTTCGCCACCGTCATGTTCTACGCCGAGAAGGGCTCCTCCGCCACCAAGTTCACCAGCATCCCGGCCGCCTTCTGGTACACCATCGTCACCATGACCACCCTGGGGTAAGTGCCTCTCTAGGCCACTTTTTTGTTTTCTTTGTTTCCTCTCCCCAATCCCTGTCCTGCTGCGTCTTTTTTTTGTTGGGCTGGAGGAGGAGGAATGGATGTCGCCGATTACTGAGTGGTTCCCGCAGGCAGAAGAGGTTGTCAAGTCAGTCTGGAGGACTGGGCTGCCCATATGAAGTGTGTTTGGAGCCAGTCCTTGGTGGTATCGGCCAGTCTTGGCCTGAACTTTATGTTCTTGCATTGGAAACCAGTATGGGGAAGGTGTGAAATTAATCACAAATTCTAATTATCTGCTAGCAGTGGACAATCCTTATAAGTGTGGCTATTAGGTGAAGAAATCTAAGCTTTTGTTTGATTATTTCACTCTGGTTCCTTGACATAATCTTGGAAACATGGAGTCTTGCCCTCCTGTCCTACCCATCAGCCCATAAGGTTTCTCTGCAGAATTGATCGATGTTCATAGTTTCACATTGCAAACTAAGTCGTCTCTAAATAACCTTTTAGAGTTACAGTAATGTAATGATTACTGTAACTCTAAAAAGTTATTTAAAGACGACTTAAATTTTTCAACCTCACAGCACTGTGTTGCCACCAAGTTTGAAACTCTACTTAGAAAGAAAGGTGTGAGGTAGCACAGCACTTTTGATATGTTGGTATATAAAACTAAAACCAGTTTTTTTTTAAATGAAGTAATGTTGTTTTCTTTGAACTTAACACATGTTGATGTTCTGTAAAACATGAGAGCACTGGTGTACAAAATGTCATCCTGTCCCAGTTACCTCTGTTTAGGCTAAGAGGACAGACATCTTCCTAAGTGGATGCTGAGAATCAGACATTTTGGTCAATCATACCTAGTAAAAACATGGCCATGGGAATGAAGACAACACTAATATCATTTATGCCCTCCCCCGTTTTACTTAGGAATGCCACACTGCTGGTTGATCTTCCTTCTCCCATCTCCAGGGCAGCACAGTGGCTCAGTGATCACACTGCTGCCTCTTAGCACAAGGGACCTGGGTTTTATTCAGCCTCGGGCAATTGTGTGGAGTTTGCACATTTTCCCTGTGTCTGTGTTGGTTTCCTCCAGGTGCTTTGGTTTTCTTTTACAGTCCAAAAATTGGCCATTCTAAATTGCCTATAGTGTCCAGGAATGTGCAGGCTATGTGGATTGGCCATGAGAAATGTAGGGTTACAAGATAGGATAGGGGGTGGGTCTGGGTGGGATGTTTTTTGGTGGGTCAGTGTGGATTTGATGGGCTGAATGGCCTGTTTCCACACTAGCGATTCTATGATTCTATCTGCTTATATCCTCCTTTTCTTCCTCCTTTTGCTCCTCTAATCCCACTACATTTAAGTCTGTTGCCTCTTCATCTTTCCAGCTGGCAGCAGGCCTTCCTTTTCTCCTTCTTAGCGGTCCCATCCCCATTCTCCAAACAGTACATTTCTTCGTTTTCTTCAAATGTGACCATACAATTTCAAGCACTTCTCAATTACTTTCTTTTGATGTTCCCACATTGCATTTTCTTATTCTCGGGCTGTGAAATTAATTTATACAGACTGGAAGAGACAGGTGTTAATAGGCCTGGAGCTGAGGTGATGTCTTACACAAACTTTGCTGCAAAGATTCTAGTGATAATTAGGTCAGGCGACAATTGGAGTGCAAATAAATGAGATTCCACAGTAGTTTGCTGCAGATAAATGAGATTCCACTATAGTTCAGTGCACATATTGCATTAAGCCTGTTTGCTAGCAATAGTTATAAACTTGGATTTCTGTTTTGTAAACAAAGTACTAGTGCAGTTATAACATTTAAAAACAACAGTATCAAGTTTACAAAACATGATGCAGTTTAGATCAAAAATGCACATGTTTTGATTGAAATGAGTCTGCTGTTATGCTTTGGGAAGCCTAAAATGTGACTTTAGTAGATGGCACATCTAACAAAATATTGGATGGTAAGAGTGTGAGGATAGACCTGATTAAATTTTGAAGATAAGCTCCGTAGCAGTCTTGACTCTGAAACCATTGGGAAGCAATGAAAAGTGAATATTTCAATGAAGTTATCTAATCAATGTGATTGTAACTTTTAAAAGTCTTATTCATTAAATTCATTAGTATTTTTCAGAGGGAGGTAGAGATAACATTATTACTTAAAACAAAATGTATTATGTATGAGTATTACGTTTGCACTGAATTTTGTACAGTTGACTATTCACATGCAGAAAGGTTTTCTCAGGTATTTAAAAAGGAACAGATTAGAATAAACATGGGTCCATTAAAGATAAAAAGGGAGAAATGGGAACATTATAATTTATAGGGTAATAGAATGGTTACAGAACATAAAGAAGCCATTTGACCTGTCATTCACTGCTGACTCTTTGGTAGCTAACAACTCCTTCACCTTTACTAATAGCCCTGAAGTCATAGAGATATACTTCAAGGAAACAGACCCTTCGGTCCCGCTCATCCCTGCTGACCAGATATCCTAAATAAATCTAGTCCCATTTGCCAGCATTTGGCCCATATCCCTCTAAACCGTTCCTATTCATATACCCATCCAGATGCCTTTTAAATGTTGTAATTCTACCAGTCTCTACCACTTTGTCTGGCAGTTCATTCCATACTCACATTACCCTCTGTGTGAAAAAGTTGCTCCTTAGATCCCTTTTAAATCTTTTCCCTCTCACCTTGAATCTATACCCTTTAGGTTTGGACTTTTACCACACTGGGGAAAAGACCTTGTCTATTTACCCCATACCCCCATTATAAACTTTATAAGGCCACCCCTCAACCTCTGACGCTCCAGGGAAAATAGCCCCAGTCTATTCAGCCTCTCCCTATAGCTCAAACTGTCCAACCCTGGTAACATGTGTTTTCTTTTAGCTTGATTGAATCAGAAGCGTTTGATTGCACCTGACTCTCCACATTCTGAGGTAGTGCCGTAGAACTTAACCACCTGCTACATAACTAAAAAGTAATCCTTATGTCACTGTTGATTCTTTTGCCAAGCACCTTAACTCTGTGCCCTCTGTTTATCGCCAGTTCTGGCAGTGGGAACATTTCCTCTCTATCTCCTGTCTATGTTTTTTATAATTTTGAGCAGTTCTATCAAATTTTCTCTCTGCCTTCTCTTTAAGGAGAACAACCCCAGGGGCTTGATCTATCTATGTAACTGAAGTCACTTGTCCTTGGAATTGTTTTCTCAGACTTTGCTGCATCTTCTCTGAATCCATTGCATTCTTCCTAAACTGCTCTGCCCAGATTTGGAAACAATACTCCAGTTAAAGCTGAACTAGTATTTTATGTCATTCATCATAACTTAATTTCTTTTGTACTGTGTACCTCAATTTATGAAGTCCAGAATTCCTTACATTTTTTAGTCATGTTCCTCACCTCAATGATTTGTGCACGTATATCCTCAGGTCTTTCTATCCTTGTACCTCCTTTCAAATTGTGCTTGTATTTTATATAGCCTTTGCTACTTTTTACAAATTTGCGTCACTTCACACTTATCGCTACTAAATTTCATCTACTATTGGCCCAACCATACTATTAGCCTCTTGACATCCTCTTGCATTCTGAAATTTCTCCTCACAATTCACAATATTTCCAAGTTTTGTCATTTTTACATTTTGAAATTGTGCTGTGCACACCCACATTTGCAGAGTACGTTTCTATTCTAGAAAAAAAGCAGTGGTTCTGGTATCAAACCCTGGGGAACCTTATTACATACCTTCCTCCAATGCCTTTCTATGACACTTCATCACTACTTTCTGTTTTCTGACACTCCACCAGCTTTATATCTCTCCTGCCACTATCCCTTTTATCCCTGGTTGGCAGCAAATGCATCTCTGCTGTTCACAAAAGGAGAGATTAGACAGGGAACTAAGGGACAGTCAACCTTACATCAGTAATCGGGACAGTTCTTGAATCTATTCATAAGAATGTGGTAACAAGACATATAAATAAATTACAGCCTGTAAATTATAACAATATATAACAATATGACCTGATTTGAATGTTTAACAAGCGTATTAGAGTTTTTTGAGTTTGTAACTGACAGGGCGGTTTAGGGAGGAATAGTAGAAGTATTTGAATTTTTTCAAGTAGCACATTACAATAAAGTGCCATGTTTTCCAGTGAAGTAGAAAAGTAATATGTTTTTTAAATGTTGAAAAGCTGGATAATGTTGGTATTTGGAGGAATCTGAGTGGCTTTGCACCCAAATATTGACATCTAGGTGAGCAAATAGTTAAGGAAGCAAATGGTCTGTTGGCCATATTTACAAATGTGATTGAATATACAAACATCCTAATTATGAACAAAAGAAAACACTGGAGCCAACTCTGCCACTGAATAAAATAATAGGTGATCATCGTGTGGCACAACTCCTCATACGTGCCTACTCCTGATGACCTTTCTTGTTAATCAAAGATCTGTCTACCTATGTCATAAAAAGACAATAGTACAGAAGTCTGACTGCAATTTTATAGGACTATATTGAGACCACACCTTCAGTGCCTTATACAGTTTTGATTTCCATACCTAAAGAGGAACATGTTTATCTGGGAGAGAGCTCAACAAAGGTCATGAGACAGATTTTCAGGATGAGAGGATTGCCCTATAAGGAATGATTCTGTTAGCTGAACCTGTATACCCTTAAGTTTAAAGGAATGACAGGTGATCTTATTGAAACATGCATAATTCTTAAGAACCATGAGATGGTAAAAATGAGTACAATATTTGCCATAGCTGGGGAGTCTGGAACTGGTGGTTACTGAATCTTATTAATGGATTGCCCATTTAGGACTATGATGAGGCAATACTTCTTCACTCAAATAATTGAGAGCCTTTGAAACTCTCTGCAGTGAGGAAGCTGTAAGGTTCAGATGTTGAACAGATGGAAATCTTAATCTTTGGCGATTAAGAAAATCAAGGGATGTGAATAAGGGCAGGAAAGTTTAGCTGAGTTCAAAGGTCATCCATGACCTTACTGA